CTTGTGTTTTCCAGTCTAGCCTGTTGGGGCACCATGCCCTGTCTCCAATGTCCACCCTCATCATTCCCTGGGGATCTTGCTACTCCCCTCCCCTGCTGTTCCGCTGGGTCTCCCTCTATTCTCTGGGAAGAATTGTTTGAGATATTTTGTTTCCTAAATGTTTGGCCAAATTCCCTTGTAAAAGCTTCTGGACCAGTCTAGTGTTTTGTCCTTCAGTGATTGATTCATGGGGAGGCGTGGGTAATCGGTAGACTCATACTATGGGTTTTCTTAATGGTATGGGTCTATTTATTTTCATTCTCTTTTATTATGTGTATTATGTATATTTAAGGCTCCAAATTTTCCTCTGAGATGTGCTTTAGCTGCATACCACAAGATTTGCCGTGTCATGACTTTATTGGTCAATTACAACTTTATGCCTTTGCCCATTATGATTTTTTTTAACCTGGCAATGATTTAATTGTTCCTTCAATTAAAGCACTTTAACACGCTCACATGACTGTGTATCTCAGCATTTCCCAGCTATTTTCTCGTATTTGTTTGCTTCAGTAATGGCTTCTGAGAAGCCTGACCACAGTCAGTTTAAGTTCTCCCTCTTGCAGAAATCTGACTTCCCGCTGTGTTTGCTTTTAAGATTTTCTTCTTGTTTGGAGTGTTGTGAATTTCACAGCAAGGTGAGGAGCTGTGGAGTTATGTTTACCTATACTCTTTGGAACTTGTTCTTGGTGAATTTGAAGGCTTACACTTGAATTTCACCTGAAAATTCTTAGCATTCGACTCTTCCCCTTTGCCATTCTTCCAGGCTCTTGATTTCCTTCTGAAACGCCCATTAAAAATGCATGGCAGACCTCATTCTGACCTCCCTGCCTCGGAATGTTGTAAATTACGAAATGACACATTATACCAACGAACACATCATTCGTGTAGTTTAAATAATAACAATCATGACTATTATTATAAGGCCGTGGACACTTACAGGTCCACCTGCAGCAGCTTGCACGATAGCATGTCACCTGGGATGAGGGCTGTCAGCGTGGCAGGGAAAAGGCCACCCCCCGTGGATTCGTGTGAGGACGCCACCGGAGAATTAGAACAGCCGGCATCGGTGTTCCGTAGCTGTTCTTCATGAAGGAGGGCCCCAACTAGAGATGCAATGTAGGGGGTTCCAGACCTCTAGAATTTGCGAGTGACCTTTCATGATTTCTTTAGGTGTGTGAACAGAACTAGGTTCTTCGTGTTTAGTTCTGTACCGAAGCTCTGGTGCTGCAGTGGTTACACGTGGTGCTGCTGATCTGCAAGGTCAGCAGTTCAAGACCTTTCCTTGGTGGAAAGATGGGGCTTTCTAGTCTCATAAAGAATTACCGTCTCAGAAGCCCGGAAGGGCAATTCCACCCTGCTTGATAGGGTCGCTGTAGTTGGCATGGACTCAATGGCAGTGTGTTGAGTCCTTCACCAGGTTGTCTCCTTCACTCCTTGCAGCTTTGAGGGATTAAATGTTATTGTTGACCTAGGGCAGCGGTTCTCAACCAGTGAGTTGTGACCCTTTTGGGGGTTGAACGACCCTTTCATAGGGGTTGCCCGATTCATAACAGTAGCAAAATGACAGTTATGAAGTAGCAACAAAAATAATTGTATGGTTGGGGGGCGTTACCACAACATGAGGAACCGTATGAAAGGGTCGTGATATTAGGAAGGTTGAGAAACACTGGCCTAGTGGGTTATACATTAAGCTGCTAACCTCAAGGGCAGTGGTTCAAACCTACCAGCCACTTCAAGGGAGAAAGATGGGCCTGTCTACTCCCATAAAGACTGAAAGACTGGAATCCCAGGGGGGAGTTCTCTGCTCTATAGGGTGTCTGTGAGTCAGAATCAACACGATGGCAGTGAGGTTGGTGTTTTTTGGGTTTATTCTGATTTTACTACAAAGAGGTAGTACTGTGGACTGTGCCTCATGGCTACTAAATGGCAGAAGGCTGCTTCTAACCCCCAGAGTCTATGGAATCGTGTTTGTTGTCATTTTCTTTCATGATCTCCTTTTGGATGATCATTTCTAGGGGGTCCAAACTGGGTGTCAGTCATTTTATTTGGACACAGTAGAAGCACATGAAAGAGCCGAGGCTGTACATCTCAAGTTAGAGCTTACCTTTCCCCACAGAAGGTGGGCCCCACCTGTCCCCTCCACTGCTGGCTGAAAGCGCTTCTGTGGCCCCACAGCCCCAGTGGCTGTCCTGCTCTCATTGGTGGCTCAGTCAAGCCCCTCTCGTTTCCCTGGACTCCACGCCCAGCCAGGACGGGGCTGAGCACTCACACCTGTGTCTCCAGCACTCCGCATGGGATCTGGCCCGCAAATAGCGTATACCTAGTGGTATTTCGTGATGGAGTACATGACTAAGTTTTGCTTAGAAGAACCAATAATGATACATTGTGATCACTTTGTATTGGACACTTATAAGTACAGTCTTTGCATGCTTCCTGACTATCATTGTAACACTCACACTGTCATCAAGTCCATCTGACTCGTCGCAACCCTGTAGGCTTCCAAACATGTACCTCTTTGTCCCACAAGGCACTGCCAGGTTGCCTCCGTTTTAATACGCAGAAAAGCTTACTGCTGTCCAGTCGGTTCTGACTCGGAGTAATAACCCTGTACGGCAGAGTAGAACTGCCCCTGTGGGTTTCTGAGACTGTCGCTCTTGATGGTAGTGGAGAGCTTCTTCCTTGGAGGAGTCGGTGGTTTTGAACTGCTCGCCCTGGGGTTATCAGCCCAACTTGTAACCACAATACCACCAGGGCTCTTAGATCCGGTTTATCGTGCATCTAATGTACACTAGTGGAGGCGGCAGTCAAGAAATCAGACTGTGTATTGCGTTACACAAATCTGCACTGTAGCCCTCTTTAATGTGTTAATGAGCAAAGATGTCACTTTGAGGACTAAGGTGCCCCTGACCCGAGTCATGCTAAGTTTAGTCCCCTCCTATGCTTATGGGCAATGAATGAGGAAGACTGGAAAAGAATGGGTGGATTTAATTATGGGACTGGTGAAGAAATTTGAAGGTACAACGGACTGTCAGAAGAACAAACAACAACAACAAATAGTACAGCCAGAAGTGCTAGGCTAGCAAGACGTGTTTACACATACATATTTTCAAGAGACCAGTCCTTGGAGAACGACACCATGCTTGCTTGCAATGTTTACGACATTAATGGCAGGCTTGTATGGAGGGTATGTCAAGAAGCAATAGCTCACATTTTATGTAGTTGTGTAAATAAAGGTTTTTATGGGTCTGTAGCAATACCTTTTGCCTGAACCTATGTGCCTGAACCTAGGTAGTTGAGAGTTTAGTGTGGCAGTAAGAAGGGGAGGAGACATGGGCCTGACATAGCATAGATACTCCTAGATCATCGATGTTACAATAATAATAAATGTGTTTTTCTCTTCTTTCAGACTGGACGCATCGACAAATCCTACCCTACAGTATGTGGCCACACAGGGCCAGTGCTCGACATAGACTGGTGCCCACATAATGACCAGGTCATTGCCAGTGGCTCAGAGGACTGCACGGTCATGGTAAGTTCCCCAGAGGACTGCACCCAACAGAACTCTAGCCTCCCGCTGTCAAGGAGAGAGAGAGATTGTGTGTGTGTGTGTGTGTGTGTGTGTGTGTGTGTGTGTGTTTTGGGAAAGCAGAAAAGCTTATCATTTCTCATCGTTTGTTAGATTATACAAGACTTGGGCCACATTCAAGTTTAACTACAGGGAAGCCTTTATACACCCCTGTATTAAGAGGTTGGCAGTGTCTGTTTTTCCACGTGTGCATGCGCCTATGCGTGTTAGTTGACCACTGGCATCTGGTTTGGGATGAGTTAGAGAAAGAATGCCTTTCCAGTAATTCGGTGACTGCTTGTGCTCACCTGGTTCCCAGAGAAAGGCAGGGATTCCTGTCTGCACAAACTGTCTGCTGCCGGAGCGCTTATGAAACGGGATGGTCCTTGCCCTTAGATCAGCGGTTCTCAGCCTGTGAGTTGTGACCCTTTTGGGGGTCGAACGACCCTTTCCCAGGGGTTGCCCAACTGATAACAGTAACAAAATGACAGTTATGAAGTAGCAACAAAAATAATGTTATGGTTGGGGGTCACTGCCACATGAGGAACCGGATGAAAGGGTCGCGGTGTGAGGAAGGTTGAGAACACTGCCTTAGAGTACATTGGAAAGAGGATTACCTCCATCTCCTTGACCAGCCCAGGAAGGGGCAGTCTCCCCAAGGGCTTCCTAAGTGTTGATGGAGATCTTTGCCAGAGATCACTGTACTGGGGGTGGGTGGGGGGCAGTGGGTGTGTCTTATAGCGACAAGTCATGCCCCTGACTGCCTTGGGGAAGCCCCTCCACCAATACTGTAAGCTCCTGTGTCTAACATAATGCATGTGCCCTAGTCGTGGCCCTGAGCCCACTCGGCGTCCCACTGATGGCTAGGACGGCTTCACTTGCCACCAGCCGTGTTGTCGTGACAGTTTCCTTTGCCCTCCCATGTCCTTTGAAAGCTCCCTGTCTCAACAAGCCCTTAGGCCCCATGATGACCTCGGGCTAATGTCCCCCTCATCCAGTTGATCAGGCACTGTAATTGTCCTCGTCCCGTGTAAGACTTCATAAATATTCTCTTAATGGACTTAATAAATGTTCTCTTAATCAGTAAGACTTTATACATGTTCTTTTTAAAATAAAAAAAGACAGAAAACATTTGGGAGGGCTGGGGAAGTTTCTAATTATGTTAGTGATAGTTCAGTGGGTTTATACATATGTCAAACGTATCGATTTGTATGTTAGATATGTATCGTTTATTGTGTTAAATCACACCAAAATACATCTTGGTTAGGTTAAAAAAATAAAATGGGACAGGTCTTGAGACCTAGTGAGAGTGTTGACAGGGGCCTGTTTCCAAGCTAATGCCAGACGTGTCTTCTGCCCAGAGACCCTGGGGAGCAAAACACTCCTTACACAGCCACATCAATGACAGGATTCAAAGATAAAGTAAATTGTTTGCATACCCTGAAAATACCCTGTTTCTGATTCTCGAAGCATTTCACTCTAGTGAGCTTGGGTGATGCGAAACCAGTTGTGAGTTCCTCCTCCTCGCTTTTAATTTCTTTTATCACTTGTTATTGTTGAAAATATACACAGGCAAACATACACCCAGGCAGGGCCGCAGTTTCTCCATATGGGTTACAGCAACTTTCGTGGTCTTCGACCACTCGCACCCTCCTTTTCTGTTTGCTTCTCTATTAACATGAACCCACACCTTATCTCTGAGTCTGAGCCTCTGTGGATGGCTCTTTCAAAAGGCGCAGCGCTCAAGGCCAGCCGCCTTTAGTAGTTTGAGTGAAGCGACTTACTGTTTGGATCTCACAGAAGTCGTCTCAGGGGTTCCGCCAGCCTCGGTGACCCCGTAAAGTCTGGATACTATAAGGATTTGAAATTCAAGTCTGCATGTTCTGCTTCCTTGTCCTCGACTAGGAACCCTGTTGGTGGAATGGGTTATGCATTGGAGTGCTAATCAAAAGGCCAGCAGTTTGAAACCACGAACTGCCCCGAAAGAAAAAGATGCGACTTCCTACTGCGGGAAACATTTAGTCTTAGAAACCCACAGAGGTAGTTTTCTGCTCTGCTCTGAAGGGTCGCTATGAGTCAGAATCTATTCAACGACAGTGCGTTTTGGAGTTTTGTCCTTGACCAGGTTTTTGGCATCCAAGTGTGGATCACGTTTTAACCGCGGTCCAGACAGTGTTGCAAAGCTGGGGATACGCTTTGACAGGCAGCTCTGCTGTCCCCCAAGGAAATGGGCAGGAGGGTCGTCCCTCATTAAGTTGCCAGGTCAGGTGGAGAATTTTAAGAATCATGTTGTTATTGGGTTCTCCAATTTTGTATGTGTGCTGCCGAAGCGAGCACTGTTATTGGGTTCTTTTACAGCTTTTATCACAATACATCCAATCAAGCACATTTGAACATTTGTTGCCATCATCCTTTTCTTTCTTTTTAAAAATCATTTTATTGGGGGCTTGTACAACTCTTATCACAATCCATCCATCCATCCATTGTGTCAAGCACATTTGTACATTTGTTGACATCATCATTCTCAAAGCATTTTCTTTCTACTTGAGCCCTTGGTATCAGCTCCTTTTTGACCTCCCTCCCTCTGCCACTCTTTCCTCCTTATAAATCCTTGATAAATTATAGATTATTATTATTTTCATAGAAGAGCGATGGTTTTTTTTCTCCTACATTTTCCCTGGGCTGAACCGGACCTGACAGCCCTGTTTGGAGAGCTTTATTAATGAAAATTGTTCCACATAAATGCACAGTAATTCCCACATTGCCTCGTTGAAAGATTCATTTCCCTTTCCACATGAAATTCTGGCTAAGAGGCTTGTCCTGTGATCTTATTTTGGCAGCCGAAGTACCTGCAAGAGAGGCACACACTGCTGCTCAGAAGAACTGTTCTGTGTAATGCACCTGCAGGGATGACTGTTGTAATGGCCGCCGTTCACAGCTGGCTGAGGGAAAGCGCATTATCTAAGTATCAGTGACCTGGGAGCCTCAGCCTCTGGTGAAGAAGCAGCTGTGTTGTAAGCAGCAAGAAGAACGCTTGCTATCTTGGGCTTCAGCATTACTAGCTGCAGTGTGTCCAAAACAGTTCAAAGCCAAGGCCATGCCTAGGGAAAGAGATGAGGCTGTTTACTGCTGTGAACTGCTGCTACCTCGGAAAACCGCAGGGGCCATTCTACCCTGCCCTATGGAGTCACTTTGAGTCCGTTGAGTTTGGAATTTGGTCCAGTTGGGTGTAAATACTAGACTTTTGTTAGATTATCTGCTTGCTTTGTGTTCTTAGGGGAGGATTTGGGGAGAGCTCAAACCTATCCTGCCAGTGAGGTCACTGTTTTCCCAGAATCCCCTCAGGCTGTCCCTTGGTTGGCATTGTCAGGGTGAACATGTGTAAGGGAAGCACAGCAGTGGGACCAAGGCTTCTAGTTTAAAGAAACCAACAGACCCCAACTCTTCAGTGTGACGTCCCCTGTGAACCCACTCCTCGTGGCAGAGCGACCCTCAGATCATGGACTGTTGGTAGCACTGGGGTCGATAGAGGAAGCTTTTCTGGTTTAGCAGTGGAAATGAAATGCCACAGGAATACAGGCTCTTCTCCTGTGCTAACTCACCATCCACTTGGCTCTGGTGAAGGTGTGATCTGGGGACCAACCCTGGTTGGTGGGTGGTTGACTTGTAACAGAACAACTGTAGTGTCCCATGCCTTGGTCGGTGGTTAGTAACCCTTGGGTGACAAAAGGTAGATAAATGTCACAAGGCCTTGTTGTCATACAGAATGAGACCCAGGGCTCTGAGCACTTCAACCACTGAAACGTGCTTAGCCTCAATGGCCTAGCTTAAGATGGTGGAGGTGAAATGATAATAATATCTATTGTGAGGATCGAAAAACTGGGGAAAAAAAGAAAAACAAAAAGACTCACCATCATTGAGTTGACAGTGGGACAGGGTAGAACTGCTCCTATGAGTTTTTGAGACTGTAACTCTTTACAGGAGTAGAAAGCCTCTTCTTTCTTCCACAGAGCGGCTCATGGTTTTGAACTGCTGACCTTGCAGTTAGCAGCCCAACACTATATGGGCCCGATAAATAGACAAGGAGTGGCTATGTTGTTTGTAATGAGTTTCGATATGTACTGATAGCAGATTCATAACAGTAGGCAGACCTCAGCAGGAAAATACACTAGAATCAGTTTATCAAGTGAACGATGAAAGGATGAAAGTAATTTTTAAATCTAGTTTCTGCCTCACTTTTTAACATCAAAAAGGACTTTACTTCTGAGAAGGCACCCTGGTGGCGATGTCGGAGGAGCAAACATTGGAAGACTATCTGCCAGGTTGGCAGTTCAAACCCACTAGTTGCTCCTCTGAGGAAAGATGAGACTCACTGCTCCTGGCCAGATTCACAGCCCCAGGGGCCGACTGGATGGCAGTGGGTTAGTTCTGGGAGCCTCAGTTTCCTTGTGTGAGACTGGAGGACAGCAGTTTCCGCTCTGCCTCCTCTCTACACTTTCTCAGAGCCTTTCCAAGCCCTGCTGTGTGGCGTTGTGGGGAGCGTTGATCAGGTGATAGCGATGTTACTTGGTTGCAGTCTGAGCTCAGAGCTGCCCTCTTTGTGGTGCGCGTCTTCACCTGAACGTAAACCCCGTCGGTGTAGTGGGCCTTTCTGCCTCCACCTTTTGAAGCAGTGCTTGGCCCCAGTAAACAGCAGCTCTGTAAACCTTCCTGGCCAGAAACTAGACTTTGCCTCCTGGGTGTTCCAAACAGTATCTGTTTCCAACAGTATCTTCTAGAAACTTTCCTAAGATTGTAGCAACTGAGAGTATTTTACTTGGGAACATTTTAGCTCTAAGGAAGACAATAGTGCTTTAAAACCCGTTTTTACTGTAATTTGCTTAAAATATTGATCTGTTTCTGTGTGTACAAGTCCTCAGCCCACTGCTATAGGAACTGTTCCAGAGGGTGTCTGCGGCTGTGTAAATC